TCGCACGGTTTTCCACGCTGATCAATGTCGCATGACTAAAGGTAAAAAAAAAGCAAAATCAACTATAGTTTGGGGGTCGAATAGTGACCCAAAAACTTCTTTTTTACCCTGTAAGCGAGATAAATGAGATGTCATCGTCGATCGCGCTGGAGACAGCGCGACAGGATTGAGAAGTAGTCACGGTCAAGAGAAAACAATTACTCACAATTTATAAGTTAAAATATCGAACCGATGATCCCTTCTTCATCGTTCTCCTTGAATGTTGGGCTGGTTTGATCTGGAGCCTCTGATTGGCTGCGGAGCTGATTCGTACAATGATTCGGTCAAGCTGCAAAATTTTCCGCCAAAAAAGGGACTATAGGGGTCGGGCCAACCCTAGGCGATATCGGAAAATTCTACTCAGGGGGGAAAAGTGACTCTCTCAGCGAAGGCCTCTAACCCGGAACATTTGTACAAACGGCCAGCTGGTTGGTCCCCTAAAGAAGTCTGGGCAGGGCACAGCTGACAAGGAAATTGCTGCCCGTCCGTCAAAAGCCACGAACGTTGCGTTGTACGAAGGGTCCTGCGTGCTGCTGAATCTAGTCTTTCGCCGGCGAGTAACCAGCTGGCGATCGCAAGGATTTTCGTCAACGTCTGGAACCTACGTTTAGCTTGGGCTGGCGGGAAACGAGGAGGAATTCTTGGGATTTACGAAGATCTGTCCGGAAAAAGCAGCAAAAACACACAACACCAACACACACCCAGCACATCACGAGTTCCCAGCATTAGATGGCGTCAGCTTGAAGCAGTTTCGTCCTTGATTCAAGCGTAGTCAGAGCTGCGCAGTAATATTGTTAGTGCATTGGGCCAGTATTAGTTTCTATTAGATTCTCCTAGCTCCGTTGGGCCACCTATGCGTTCGTCTGGTCCCATAGTCGCACTGATAGCGAGATTCCGCTTCTTTTTTTGATGTGTTCATTACTAATTCCCAGAAAGCCACGCCCAGAATTGTAGGCTATATGAATTTATGGATGTCGAGTATGTAATCGTTTTCGAGATTACGACACAGCTAGCAAAAAACGGAGCGTCGGGACTGTTGAGCTACGAAGTGTGGAATTTTCATATATATTAGTCCCTGCATGTAAATGTGGTTGTGCGTGAAGTTATGGCACCAATAGCGGGAAATGGAGCGTCGGGATCAGCGAGTCTTTACAAGGTGTGGGAGATCAGAGCGCTGAAGCGGCAGAAGCGGAGCGACGAGGCGAGAAGCCTGCTGGAGCGAGTGGCGAAGCAGGTTGAGCCGATTATGATCCGGCGCCGATGGAAGGTGCCGCTGCTGTCTGAATTCAGGTTCGAGCCTCAGTAGACGCGCTAAAAACAGGTTGGTTATTTACTCGTCTCAACAAGAGAAGCCTGTTGTAGCGAGTCGCTACGCAGGTGGAGCCGATTATGGTCCTCGTTCACACTCGCACCATGATTAGCTTTTGACTGTTCCCCATCCACAGTCCCAGCAATGCTCGGCTCCTGGGTCTCAACATCACCGAGGCCGGGAGATTCGAATACGACTCAGACCCGCAGGCAAGCGTTGGGAACTATCGGGAGTTGTACCTGACATTTGTTCATGCTTATTGTCAACCTGCTAGTGATTCGACTCAGACGGTCAGGATAGCTAGATTCGCCCTTCCCTTACAAGCGTGAGCTGCGAACCACCGCGGACGAGCTCATTGCAAGTAGGGGTTGACCTTGACCGGCAGGCAATCAAACTATCCCATTCCTTGGAAGAAAGCATCGAGCACCTCCCTTCATAACTGCTGATTAGTTAGATCGTGTCAATTCACACACAATCTGCAAGCTCTCGTATGAGCTGACCAGCTGCAACTTTTGAGTTGCCCTTCCTTTTCTTTCTTTCTTTCTTTCATTCTTTTCCTGCAATCTTGATTCACTGAATAGGCAAGCCGGACTCATTCTTCCCATACGAGCATGTGTTGGGCACCATGCTTCACGAGCTCACTCACATCGAACGAGGCCCCCACGATGCCAAGTTCTACAAGCTACTAGACGAACTCAATGAGGTAAGTGCAGTAACGCGCTCGTCCTCTCCGTCTTCCACTTCAGTGTGGCAATGCCCCCTCGTCCCATCCACGCATGTGCTGCTTTGACCAAGTGACTTTTGAGTCTACTCAAAAAGTCACTCCGTCTTCCACTTCAGTGTAGCAAATGCCCCCTCGTCCCATCCAAGCATGTGCTATTTGGAGTTCCCACAAGCATAGGCTGGAGGCTGGACAAACCTTTTTCGTGCGTGGTGTCTCTCATTGCCCAAACCCATATGAGCAGGAGTGTGATGATCTCATAGCACGAGGCATAACAGGAACGCCCTTTGGGGGATCTGGTCACCGCCTCGGCTCCTCTGCTTATCCCTCATTCGCCCAGTCCGCTTAGCACTGCTGCTGCTGCTGCTGCTGCTGCTGCTGCTGCTGCTGCTGCCAGCGCTGCTGCTTCTTCCTCTTTCAGGGTTGTTACCCCTGCTGGCCCTTCTTCTGCCCCGTCTGCTGCTTGACGGGGCAAGCAGAAAAGCAGCGGCAGCAGCGGCGGAGCGGAGGCGGCAGCAGCAGCGGATCATGATGCCTGTGGGCGGGCGGCGATTGGGCGGCGACAGTGAGATTATGAAGGTGTTGAGTCCGGTGCAGGCAGCTGCTATGGCAGCAGAGAGAAGGATGAGGGACGATGTGTGGTGTGGTGGGCATGGGAGCGAGGGAGGGGAGGGAGGGAGAGGGAGGGGATAGGGGTCAAGGCGGGGCGAGGGAAAAGGAAGAGGAGGAGTGGGAGAGTGCAAGGGAAGTGAGAGAGGGTAATGCGTCACAGCAGCGTGCAAACGATGTTAGACACGATGATAGAGTTGATGGTAGAGATGATGGTAGAGGAGGAATGGCAATGGGTGAAGGTCATGGTGGTGCTGTTGGTTCTGGGTTGGAGGGGGATGAAATAGGGGCAGGCAGAGGGAGGGTGAGGAGTGGAAGTGCGCAGAGTGACGCGTCCAGGCATCAGGACTGTGACTGTAACGGTGGTTGTGATTGTGTACAAGGTGCAAATGGCTTCAGAACGGGGGAGGGCGAGCCAGGCTGGTGGGGGCAAGGAAGCGGCCAAGTGTGACTGAGGAGCAGAGCAGTAGGAGCAGAAAGATGCCTGCAAGCAGTGCTGTAGCAAGTAAGAGAGCTGATGCGGCCAGAGAAAGATTCACAGATGGGTCTAGAGGGGGCGATGTGTCAGGAGGAGAGCAGCAGGCAGCGGGAGCAGGCAGGGCAGAGGGAGCAGAGGGTGTGGGGAGAGAAGACAACTGGACGTGCCGTGTTTGCACACTGATTAACCGGGTGAGTTAGGAGCTTTTAACATGTGTGTGTGGGGGGGAAAAAGAGTGGGGGGAGAGGGGAGTGTGTGCGTGTGTGCATGTGCATGCGGGCATGCAGTTGAATCCATTCAGGCAGTCAATGACCATCACACACACAGTATGGTACCTGCCCTGTCGGTTCCAATATGAGGAAGCACTTGGTACAGTGCGCCTCAGCGTGAATCATGCCTTATGATTTTTCTTTTATTTATTTATTTCTTTATTTCTTTTCTTTTTTTCCTGTAGGGCATTGTGCTACAGTGCGAGGCGTGCCTTGCAGTGCGACCGCATTCAGGCCCGGCCAGTTCTCGCGCAGCAGTGACCGCTGCTTCCACGCCCCCCACCACCGCTGCTGGTGCTGCTGCTGCTGGTACCAGTGCCGATGCAGCCATTGTAATCGAGGATTACCCTGCTGCTGCAATCACTGGCTGTGGCAGTGCTGCAGTCATTGCTGACAGTGCTGCAGTCATTGCTGACAGTGCTGCAGTCATTGCTGACAGTGCTGCAGTCATTGCTGACAGTGCTGCTGCCCCGGGGGCCATGTGGACTTGTACGCTGTGCACGCTAGAGAATGCTGCTGCTGCAGATCGATGCCTGGCCTGTGACCTCACTGAAAGTCGCTCAGACATGATGCCATATCAACTCATTGATGCCTCTCACGCATAATAATCTCAACACAAGTGCGGTAAACTCAACACATGTAATCTCAATGCATGTGCTTCTGTAGCTGTTGGTGGTAGTGCTGTGCTGCCATGAGGATGAGGTCCATATGGACGTGTGGACAGTGCACGCTAGGGAATGGTGGTGGTGGTGGTGGTGCTGCTGCTGCTGCTGCTGCTGCTGCTGCTGCTGCTGTGGACCACGCTGCCAGGTGACTTTTGAGTCGACTCAAAAGTCACCTCATGTAATCTCAACGCATGTGCTTCTGTTGCTGTTGGTGGTAGTGCTGTGCTGCCATGAGGATGAGGTCCATGAAGACGTGTGGGCAGTGCGCGCTAGAGAATGGTGCTGCTGCTGCTGCTGCTGCTGCTGCTGTGGACCACACTGCCAGCCAGGCCAGTCACTCATGGAGATGCACGTGGTTCCGTGATACATACCGTACAACTGCACCATAGTCAGTTCCGGTCACCCATTGAATTGACAGCATTCAATAGCCATGCCAGTGGTGAAGCCACACACATACGGTATGTTCGCAGATACCGTATGTTAGCAGTGCAGTGGACCACGTCGCGCTCCCTGGTCTGTGACTCGCAGGATTTCTTTCATTTTTTTTCATCAAGCAATGTGGCTTCACTGTGCCCGCTCAATTCACTCTTAGACACATGCACTTGCGCGACTGAGCATGGTTATTAGGAGTCCATACATACGGTACTGTACTGCAGAGCACAGCAACTGGTCTTAGACTATAGCTGCAATCATTGCAAGAGCAATGAAGCAAGTGAATCTGCTGCAACAGCAGAAACCATGCACAAGCCTTTCAGGTGCACTCTCCTATCTGAAAGCCACGTGATGACCCTCAGTTTGTCTCACCGCCTCTTGTACCTGCCAGGAGGAGAACAGAGCGCAAGGGAAAGACGAAAATGCATGCATGTCAAGTCAGAATGCTAAGGGAGGGCCAAACAATATGGGGTTAAAAGGACTAAACCCTAAACCCTGGAAAGTGGGGACCAAAGGGGCCCGCCACCGTCCTCTTGGAGACTTCTCAAACAGTCATGAGGTAACAGTCAAGAGGTAACAGCCAAGAGGATGACAGACAGACTCACCGCTTCTTGCTCTTGAAAGTCCCCCCAGCCTTCCCCCTCCCCTTCACTTCCCCCCCAGCCCCTCCCCCTCCTTTCCCCTTGGCCATATCCGTCTGAAACAGATCCTTCATCTCTCGGGACCGGGACGGCGTTTTCTGCTTCGGTTTCTTCCCAGCTGCCCGGCCGCCCGCCTTGGGCAGGCTGACAATCTTCCCAGCTGCCCGGAGCCGCTCTGCGGATTTGATTGCCTTGGCCTTGCGGTAAGCCAGATCGGCTCTTGTCTTTCCTCCAGCCTTGGGTTTCCCATCAGATGCTTCATCCAACCCGAACTCCTGTGCTTCTGCCTCCTCCTCTTGCGCCTGCCTCTCTGCCTCTAGCTTTCTGCGTTTCTTTCTTGGGAGGGATTTCTGGATGGGGGGAAAGAAAGAGAAAGGGTGAGGGAGGGGGGAGGAGGGAGGGGGGCGGCCAAAGGTGAAAAGATCCGAAAAATTTTCAGCTTCATCCAGCCCGAAGGCTTTTGTGCCTTGGCTCTTGTCTTTCCTCCAGCCTTGGGTTTGCCATCAGATGCATCATCCAACCCAAACTCCTGTGCCTCTGCCTCCTCCTCTTGAGCCTGCCTCTCTGCCTCTAGCTTTCTGCGCTTCTTCCTAAGGAGCAATTTCTCGAAGGGGAGAAGAAATGATAAGTTAGAGGGAGGGGGAGGGGGAAGGGCGAGGGACGATGTGAGCAAGAGCAGGCAATTTCAATTCATCCAGCCCAAAGGCCTGGTGACTTTTGAGTCATCCAGGCCTGTGCATCCAGGCCTGTGCATCCAGGCCTGTGCATCCAGGCCTGTGCATCCAGCAACAGTCGACTCAAAAGTCATCCAGCCCAAAGGCCTGTGCTAAGGCCCCCTCCTCCTCTTGTTGTGCCTGCCTCTCTGCCTCTAGCTTTCTGCAGGGATTTCTGGAACAGGAAAGAGAAAGGGAGAGGAAAGGGCAAGGACAACGGAGAGGGAAGAGGGGATGGGAGGCAAGGGGGGGCGGAGAGTGAGACGAGAGGAGGAGGGTACAGGTTAGTTGGGAGTGCAGGTGCATCATCCGGCCCCAAGGCTTGCGCTGCTTCCTCCCCTTGTGCCTGCCTCTTTGCCGCCAGCTTCCGCCTCCCACCCCTAGTGTTTGTTTCACCTCCCACATCTCAGCAACACATTGCTCACCTCTCGCTGCTTCTTCAGCTTCTCCTTCCTCCTCTTCTCCTGCAGCTCCTCCAGTGAAAGCACCTTCCCTCCTCCCTTCCCTCCCCCTTTCCCACTGCCGCCCTCCCCGCCCTCTGCCTCAGCGTCAGCCACAGCCTTAGCCGCCTCTGCCACTGCCTCCTTCTCCCTCTTGCTCTGGAACCACGTGCGCTTGGGCTTGGCGAATATCTCATCGCGATGAGTCAGCATGTTCTCAGCCTGACGTGGCAGCAGGGAGGGGTTGAGCGGAAAGGGAGATGAGAAGCAAGGATAGCAGCTGGAGTCATGTCCTCAAAATTCTGAAAGAAAAAAAGTCACTTCAAAGTTAAAACTAGCAAGAAGAACAGTGTGTGTCAAACCCTTCGGTTTGAGAAGTCGCAAAACTAGACACAGCAGCTTCAACTCCCCGGGTCAACCCACCTACCCCGGCCGACCCGCCAGCCTGCCCACCCACCCACCTGCCCGCCCGCCCACCCACCCACCTTGACTGCTTCCATCTCTGCCTTTCGCAGCACCCGTTCCTCCCTCTCCTGCTTCATAACAGCCGCTACATCCCTCTCCATGCCCTCCACTCGCTGCCTCCACCGCTCCACAGCCGCTTGGGCTATCTGCCGCTGCTTCAGCTTCCTGCCTGCTCGCTTTGTCTGCAGGGAGAGAGAGTGGGAGGGAGAGGAAGGGAGGGAGAGGCAGGAAGAGAAAGTGGGACTGCGGGCTGAGATGGGGAACATCACAGAATGCCATCCCACGTCCCTCTCCATGCCCTCCACTCGCTGCCTCCATCGCTCCACAGCCGCTTGCGCTATCTGCCGCTGCTTCAGCTTCCTGCCTGCCCGCCTCGTCTGCAGGGAGAGAGAGTGGGAGGGAGAGGAAGGGAGGGAGAGGCAGGAAGAGAAAGTGGGACTGCGGGCTGAGATGGGGAACATCACAGAATGCCATCCCACGTCCCTCTCCATGCCCTCCACTCGCTGCCTCCACCGCTCCACCGCCGCTTGCGCTATCTGCCGCTGCCTCAGCTTCCTTCCTGCCCGCCTCGTCCGGTGTGACGTGCAGGGGGGGAAAACGGTGCAGGGTGTGGAAGAAGGATAGATGGGATGGGACACCACATCAGTCAATGCCATCCCACATCCCTCTCCATGCCCTCCACTCGCTGCCTCCACCGCTCCACAGCCACTTGCGCTATCTGTCGCTGCTTCAGCTTCCTGCCTGCTCGCCTCGTCTGTGGTAAGAGAGAGTGGAACGGGGGTGCAGAGAGAACGAGGCGTACCAGGTGTTAGGACATAAGGCTCTCACTTAGTGACTTTTGAGTCGACTCAAAAGTCACGAGGCGCACCAGGCGTTAGGACATAAGGCTCTCACTTCACATCACCTCACATCACATCACATCACATCATGCTGACATATCTTGTACAAACACTCTTCTCCCTTCCACCTCGCCTCCTCATCTCATCCCTTCTTCCCCGCCATTTCCTTGCTCTCACCATCGCTTTCAGCAGCCTTCGGTCCTTCTCCCCCACGAAGGTCACTGACGATCCGCCCTTCCCTGCCCGTGCTGCCCTCCCTTTCCCTCCTTCACCTTCTCTTCCAGCCTTGCACAATGCACTCTCCTTCCCCTCCCCCACTACTCACCATCGCTTTCAGCAGCCTTCGGTCCTTCTCCCCCACGAAGGTCACTGACGATCCCAGCTTGCCTGCCCGTGCTGTCCGCCCCACTCGGTGCACGTAGCTGGGGAGCACAGGGGAGGAGAGGGGAAGGCAGGGGAGGAGGGGTTGGAGAAGGCAGGAGGGGATGAGTATGTTAGGGGAAGGGTGTGTAAGCCCTAGCTTCCCTGCCCTGCCCATGCTGTCCTCCCCACTCGGTGCACGTAGCCGGGGAAAGGGGAGATGGGTGGGGGCGTTTGGAGGAAAATAGAGAAAGGATGGGGATGATATGGGATGGGAGGGAGAAGACACGAGGAATGAAAAACGACAGGGGAATGCATATAAGTAACAGAGATGAAGGTATAGTGTGCGATCTGCTGACCACTGCAATTTTGAAACCACTCACTTGGTGATTTCACGGGGTGTGTGGTAGTTGATGACTGTTTGCACTCCAGCAATGTCCAAACCCTGAATGGAGTCCGGGGGAGGAGAGGTTGGGAAATGCGGGGAATGAAAAGGACAATGGAAAAGATGGGATTATTAATGAGATGTCTCAAAACGAATACTTAAGGACACTTAATCGGTCACAAAAACGACTAGCAAAAGACAAAGAAGTAGCAAAAACGAGAGAAAAAAAAGGCCTTATAAAACGCAATCGTTGCACACGCACCCTGGCAGCGACATCAGTGGCAATAAGGAAGTCCACATCGTGCGTCCGAAATCGTTCCAAGGCCTGGACGCAAGGGGGTGCAGCAAAGCAAGGACAGCAGGGAAACAAGGAAACGTGCACACAGAAACGTGCGGTGAGATTCTAATGGGTAGTGGCGTGTGCAGGCTGGCAGCGACATCAGTGGCAATAAGGAAGTCCACATCGTGCGTCCGAAATCGTTCCAACGCCTGAGTGGAGAAAGGAGGCAAAGAGGCACGAGCGGGGAAAGGAGGCAGGAACGATTTTTTAGGCGCCTCAAAAGCGGCAACATCAGTGGCGAGGCGATGAGAAAGTCCACGTGCCAGGACTAGTGTGCACATCGTGCACAGTGGACTAGATGCACTTCTGTGCACATCGTGCACAGTGGACTAGATGCACTTCTGTGCACATCGTGCACAGTGGACTAGATGCACTTCTGTGCACATCGTGCACAGTGGACTAGATGCACTTCTGTGCACATCGTGCACAGTGGACTAGATGCACTTCTGTGCACATCGTGCACAGTGGACTAGATGCACTTCTGTGCACATCGTGCATGCAGAACCGCTTCAAGAATGAAGCAAGCACGCGTGCATGCCCAATCCTTAAGGTGCATGTCCACATCGTGCATGCAGAACCGCATGCAAGGCCTGAGTGGGGGGAAGCAAGTAGGCAGGAAATGCGCACACAGATAAACGTGAGATTCGGTTCTGATTGCTAGCAGCGTGTGTAGGCTGGCAGCAACATCAGTGGCGATGGGAAAGTCCACATCGTGCATGCAGAACCGCATGCAAGGATTGGGCATGCACACGGGGCAAGCAAGCAGGAAACGCGCAGACAGACGTGTGAGGTGAGGTTCTCATGGGTAGTGGCTTGCAGGCTGGCTGCAACGTCAAAAGAAACCACGTCAGCAGTAGTGAGGTCACATCCAGGCCATGCGACGTGTGATTAGTAACCTCACTCACATCCAGTCTCATGGCTTGAGTGAGGTTCCCGTGTAGTTCCGCTACCCGCCATCCCAGCACTAGCACCACATGCAGTCACATCCCCCTTGCTCACTCACATCCCCCTTGCTCACTCACATCCCCCTTGCTCACTCACATCCCCCTTGCTCACTCACATCCAGTCGCATGGCCTGGGTAAGGTTCCCGTGTAGTTCCGCCGCCCGCCATCCGAGCAGACCAAATATAATCTTCAGCCGATGCGCCTCTACCTTGCGGCCGCTGCAAACAAACAAAAACGGCCACAGGAGGGAGAAACGGGTGCCACGTCAGCATATGATAGGGGTGTGCTCAGCCACCAATGAACAGCGTGCAGCAGAACATGCTGAGCCACAGGAACCACGTCAGCACCAGCACATGACACGTCAGAACCATTTCACGTGTCAGCACACCAGCTGCACAAACGAATCTGAAGATGATCATTTCTCCTCCCTCTTGCAATTTACTCCTCTTCTCCCCTACCCCTAAATCCGAGGTGCCATTTCAGTCAACAGAAGGCTCACCTGAAGACGATCACTCCACCACTCCCCTGTGCTTTACTCCGCTTCTCTCCCTTCCCCCCACCTCACCATCCTGAAACCAAGGTGTCTGTTGAAATGATTTCAAAGCTCACCTGAAGACGATCACTCCACCACCTGTGCTTTACTCCGCTTCTCTCCCTTCCCCCCACCTCACCATCCTGAAACCAAGGTGTCTGTTGAAATAATTTCAAAGCTCACCTGAAAACGATCACTCCACCACCCCCCTGTGCTTTACTCCGCTTCTCCCCTCTTCCTGAATCTCCTGCCTGTCCTCCTTCCGAACCACCATCCGTCCCTCCTTCCGAGCCTGCGCCAGCGGTTTTGGCGAGCCTGGAGCACACAGCGAGCAGCATGGCCTCTCGGTCTGCTTCCTGAGACGATCGCACTCGAACCACCCTGGAGAAGAAAAGGAGGGAGAGGGGGAGGATGACGGGATGCCAATGGGAGGAGTGAGTAAGAGGCATAAGTTTTGGAGCGGAGAGAGCAGAAAAAGCACACTGCGCAGCAGCATGGCCTCTCGGTCTGCTTCCTGAGACGATCGCACTCGAACCACCCTGGAGAAGGGGGGTGGGGGAGGGGGGCGTGGGGGAGGAGGGAGTGGGGGAGAATGAGGGGATGGCAATTGGAGAGGGAAGAAAGAGCAAGCAGTATGGCCTCCTCCTGTCCAGTGTACAAGGTTGCAGCATGGAAGCAGCAGCAGCAGCCGCACTGGCAGGTAAGGCCCCCAACGCACTCCAGTGTACAAGGTCGCACTGGCAGGTAAGGCCCCCAACGCACTCCAGTGTACAAGGTCGCACTGGCAGGTAAGGCCCCCAACGCACTCCAGTGTACAAGGTCGCACTGGCAGGTAAGGCACCCAACGCACTCCAGTGTACAAGGTCGCACTGGCAGGTAAGGCCCCCAACGAACTCCAGTGTACAAGGTCGCACTGGCAGGTAAGGCACCCAACGCACTCCAGTGTACAAGGTCGCACTGGCAGGTAAGGCCCCCAACGCACTCCAGTGTACAAGGTCGCACTGGCAGGTAAGGCCCCCAACGCACTCCAGTGTACAAGGTCGCACTGGCAGGTAAGGCACCCAACGCACTCCAGTGTACAAGGTCGCACTGGCAGGTAAGGCCCCCAACGCACTCCAGTGTACAAGGTCGCACTGGCAGGTAAGGCCCCCAACGCACTCCAGTGTACAAGGTCGCACTGGCAGGTAAGGCCCCCAACGCACTCCAATGTACAAGGTCGCACTGGCAGGTAAGGCCCCCAACGCACTCCAGTGTACAAGGTCGCACTGGCAGGTAAGGCCCCCAACGCACAGCTTCTCACTCTCCCCAATCAGTCACTCACAGTGCCATGTCAACCCCTCACTCACTCTGTACCCTGCACACAGTTCACTCCCCCTCTCTCACTCACTCCTCTTCCAGTATGCGAGGGTCCCTGCATGGAAGCATCAGCAGACAGCCGCACCGGCAGGTTGAGAGACAGGCTTGCTAGCTGCTGCACCCACCCAATTCTCCTCCGCCTTTCCTCACCCTCTCACCCCTTCCCTGCACCCACTCCTTCTCCCGCCTTCCCCCGCGATCACTCACTCTTCTTCCAGTGTGCGGGGTCGCTGCATGGAAGCATCAGCAGACAGCCGCACCGGCAGGTTGAGGGACAGGCTGGCCAGCTGCTGCACCTCCCCACTCATGGTGGCCGAGAAGAGGAGAGTTTGGCGGCGCTTTGGGCAGACTCTCACCTGCGAGGGGGGAGGAGGAGAGGGAAGGCAAGGGGGTGTGGGTGGGGGAGGGAGGCTAGTGTGAATGGCAGGTTGAGAGACAGGCTCGCCAGCTGCTGCACCTCCCCACTCATGGTGGCCGAGAAAAGGAGAGTCTGGCGGCGCTCGGGACACACTCGCACCTGCGTGAGAGAGGCAAAGAGCACCGAGGGGAAGAGGAGAGGGAGAGGGGGAAAGGGGGGAGGGGATTTTCGAATGACAGGTTTAGGGACAGGCTTGCCAGCTGCTGCACCTCCCCACTCATGGTGGCCGAGAAGAGCAGCGTCTGACGGCGCTTGTGCACTGACAATGGCCGAAGATAGGCCAAGCCTGGTGCACCAACCATCTATTTCTGGCAGCACTTACTATTTTCGGCAGCACTGACTCTTTCCATCACCTTCGCCTGAAGCCCCAGCTGCAGCAGCTGTCCGCCTCATCCAGCACTGGAATGGCATCAAAACAGCACCACTCACTATTTTTGGCAACGATTGCCATTTTGGGCAGAACTTGCTATTCCCATCACCTCCTCCTGGAACCCCAGCTGCAGCAGCCTGTCCGCCTCGTCCAGCACCAAATAGGCACCAAAACAACCCCAATTACTATTTCCGGCAACACTGCCGTTTCCAGCAGCACTTACCACTTTTGGCAGCACTTACTATTTCCATCACCTCCTCCTGGAACCCCAGCTGCAGCAGCCTGTCCGCCTCGTCCAGCACCAGAATGGCCAGGTCGTTCAAGTCAACGCTCTGGCTGTTCTGCAGATGATCAACAAGTCTGGAGGGGGGAAGAGGAAGAGATTGGTGGGAAATTGAGGGTACAAAAGCAAGGCAAGGTTGGTCAGGTGCAGACTCTGCTCTGGCTGGTTGCGCAGAATCTGTTTTTGAGGCGCCTCAAAAATCTGCTCTGGCTGGTTGCGCAGAATCTGCAGATGGTGCACGGACGGACCACAGGGCTGAGGGGTGAGAGTGGGAAGTGGCAAACGACGATGTTGAGGGGTGAGAGCAGAGCACAGAGCCAGCAACTTCCTCGACAAGTGGGAAGAGGCAAGGAGGTGTATTTTGAGGCGCCTCAAAATACACCTCACGCGACGATGTTGGGGGGTGAGAGCAGAGCACAGAGCCAGCAACTTCCTGGTTCTTCACATGAAGTGAGGGTGTTTTTGAGACGTCTAGTTTTGAGGCGCCTCAAAACTAAGCACAGAGCCAGCAACTTCCTGGTTCTTCACATGAAGTGAGGGTGTTTTTGAGACGTCTAGTTTTGAGGCGCCTCAAAACTAAGCACAGAGCCAGCAACTTCCTCGACGAGTGGGAAGTGGCAACTTCCTGGTTCTTCACATCCCCATCACAGAGAACAGCCCCCCAATTTGACCCCCATCACATCCCAATCCATCTCTCTTGAGGTCTCTCTGCTTCTCACCTGCCTGGAGTGGCAACGACGATGTCTGGCCGTTACCTCAGAGCCACCTCCTGGTTCTTGATGGACAGACCCCCCACCACGAGCCCACAGCGAGTAAGCCTTGAGACACCTAAAGAGTACGCTTCCCAGCTCCCCACCAGGTTCCCACCTGCCCGGAGTCGCGACGACGATGTCTGGCCGTGACCTCAGAGCCACCTCCTGGTTCTTGATGGACAGACCCCCCACCACGAGCCCACAGCGGATGTCAGTGAACTGCGCTAGCTTCTCCACCATGCTGTGCACTCTGGTGGGAGGAGAGTGAGAAGGGGTGCGCAGGGGTGCAAAGAGGTGAATTTCACTCTCGTGGACTTTTAGGCTCTCCTGGCCTCGCCCCTCCACCCCCCCACCACGAGCCCACAGCGGATGTCAGTGAACTGCGCTAGCTTCTCCACCATGCTGTGCACTCTGGTGGGAGGAGAGTGAGAAGGGGTGCGCAGGGGTGCAAAGAGGTGAATTTCACTCTCGTGGACTTTTAGGCTCTCCTGGCCTCGCCCCTCCACCCCCCCACCACGAGCCCACAGCGGATGTCAGTGAACTGCGCTAGCTTCTCCACCATGCCGTGCACTCTGGAGGGGTTGGGAGGAGGAGGGGTGTGCAGTGGTGCAGAGAGGTGAATGCTAATCTCTGGATCAACGTTTACTCTTTTACTCCACCAGCCAGCGGCGGATGTCTGTGAACTGAGCTAGCTTCTCCACCAATGCTAAGGTGAATTGAACCTTTGTGGAGTAGAGCATGGGCAGACGAGCAAACCCCCCACCCCACCACCAGCCCTCTGCGAATATCTGTGAACTGAGCTAGCTTCTCTCCACCATGCTGTACACTCTGGTTGAGACGGAAGAGCTGGAGAGGGGGGGGAGGAGGGGGGGGGTGGGGGGGGGGGGGGGATGCGAAGGAAAGGAAGTGTGAAGCAAGGCAAGAATCGCAAGCCCATATACCTGCGCCCAGGCTGCACAGCCTAGCATGGAGGTGACTTTTGAGTCGACTCAAAAGGAAGTGTGAAGCAAGGCAAGAATCGCAAGCCCATATACACTTGCGATATGCCTGTGCGCCCAGGCTGCGCAGCCTAGCATGGAGCAGTTGGCTGTGCATGAACCCAAAAGTTCACAGTACGACAAGCAAACAGCACTCACTGCACGGCCAGCTCTCTGGTTGGGGTGAGCACGAGGACACGAGTGGCCGCCACCCGCTTGGGGCGGAACAACAGTCGCTCCAAGATGGGGAGAGAGAAGGCGGCGGTCTGTGTGGGGCCAGGGGGCAGAGAGAAAGAACGCAAATAAAGGAGACTTGTGATCATAACAGCCTCAAAAGTGGCCGCCACCCGCTTGGGGCGGAACAACAGTCGCTCCAAGATGGGGAGAGAGAAGGCGGCGGTCTGTGTGTGGCCAGGGGGCAGAGAGAAAGAACGCAAATAAAGGAGACTTGTGATCATAACAGCCTCAAAAGTGGCCGCCACCCGCTTGGGGCGGAACAACAGAAGCTCCTCAGATAGGCAGGGCGAAAGCGGCGGTCTGAGTGGGGTGGATGGGATGGGAGGGAGAGGTGGAAAGAGGCACAGGGAGAGTGCTAACTGGAGGCGCCTCAACAGGAGCCGCCACTTGCTTGGGAAACGGACAGCGAGCAAGGAATAGCAAGGTGCCATTTTGGACAGCAAGCGCTCCAAAATGGGCAGAGGAAGAGCAATGCCGGAGCAATGCGGGAGCAGCACGACACGAGCAACAAGAGAGCAACGCACCTTGCCAGACCCAGTGATGGCGCTGCCACAGATGTCTCTCCCAGCCATGGCGAGCGGCACGCACACGGCTTGAATGGGCGTGGGCTTGTCATACCCCAGAGCAGCACACGCGCGCAGCAGCGGCCGCGACAGCTGCAGCTCTGAGAAGGACGACACAGAGAACCGCAACACACACCCAACACAGCCCCCCCAAACGCACCTTGCCAGAACCGGCGATGGCGTGACAGCTGCAGCTCTGAGAAGGACACGACAGGTCAACACACACACCCTCACACTCGCACACACACACACCCCCACACTCGCACACACACACACACCTTGCCAGAACCGGTGATGGCGCTGCCGCATATATCCCGGCCTGCCATAGCCAGCGGCACACAGGCCGCTTGAATGGGTGTGGGCTTGTCATACCCCAGAGCAGCACACGCACGCAGCAGCGGCCGCGACAGCTGCAGTTCTGAGAAGGACGACGCAGAGAACCGCGCCCCTGCCTCCTCCGCCCCCTCGAAATACACCCCCCCGCCTCCCCCTCCGCCCCCCCCTTCCCCGCCTTCTCCCTTTCCTGCTCCTTCCTTCTCTCGCCTGGCTTTTGCCTTGGGTGCCTTTTCGATATCTTTTATTTTGGGCTGCCGAAAAGAGCGGGGGGGAGGAGGGGAGAAGGGGGAGGGGGTGAGGAAGTCGAAGTTCAGAACGGCTCTGGACGTTTTGGTCTCAACTACTCAGCCCACCTGGCTTTGAACGGTTTGGCTCCTCCGTTGAAAGCTTCGTTTCATCAAAGGGTGATGCTTTCGTTAAGCCACACCATAGAGCTTGTAACTCAGAAATCCTCCCCACATCCCGAACCTGTGAAAAACCCTGACCCCGAAACCCTGGACGTTGTGCGAGATGCGCGTGGCTTACCTCACTCTCGCCGCGTTCCTTCCCTACCCATCTCTTCTAACCACGCTACCCACCTGTTGAACCCCTCTCAACCCCTTCTCGTTTATTCATACCTCCTTTTTAGTCTTCTTGTGACTCGCCTCTTCCTCTTCCTCATTTTCCTCCTCGTCCTCTTCTTCTTCCGCTTCGTCTTCCTCTTCCTCCTCATCTTCCTCCTCCTCATCCTCTTCTTCCTCTTCCTGTTCTTCCTCCTCTTCCATCTCCTCTTCGTCTTCCTCGTCCTCTTCCTGCTCCTCCTCCGCTAAGTCTACCTCTTCCTCTGCCTCTTCCTCCTCCTCTTCCTCTTCCTCCTCCACATCCTCCTCCTCATCCTCCTCCTCATCCTCCTCCTCTTCCTCCTCCTCTTCATCCTCCTCCTCCTCGTCCTCCTCTTCTCTCCCTCTCTTCGTGCTCCCAAGCCCCATCGCTCTCCGCCGTCGGATCATCTCAATCTTGGTATCAACGGACGTCGTTTTTCGCTCCTTAAACTCCTCCGCAAGAGTCTTCCCCGCGCCCTTGAAATCCCACGCCGCCACCTCCCCTCCATCCTCGTTATCGTCATCCGCGTCAAAACGAAACAGCGGATCCATTCGCCCCATGGCTTTCTACAGGGACAACCAGATACCGAATTCGATAATAATACCGCTTTTTACGGTCAATCCTAGTGCGCGGATACTAACTCGAAGCTACGAGCGTGCGAACATTCCGCAACTGGGTATCGTCTACGAGATTCTAGCCATTCCAATATTTTGGAGCAATCGCGTCAGAGTCAAGCGCGCGAACGCCGTGAAAGAGAAAGTCCTCGCCGACCGCGGAGGTTTCTAGGGTTCCTGTCGAGGTTTCATGTGAGTCGAGTTTCAAGGTTTAATCCAGAGGGGAACAGAAGTGCTTAGTTGTTTCCATATTCTGATTCGATATGCGTCAGCGTAGAATGCAATAAATTAAATGTTGCTAGAAAGGCACAGTGCCAGCGTAGCGGAAACGTGTTTGTAGAAAAGAACAAGATAAAAATCTTGCATTGATCATTGAAAAGTAGAATGATAACACAATGATGACTCAATGATTACTCAATGATGATGAAGAAGTGACACAGCAGGGTATTTATGCACCATGTACCCCTCCCAAAATGGCCCATTCACACCAATAATAGCGTACCAATAATTGTACCCTCTACCCTCCAATAATGTTGGGCTCCAATAATTGTGGCCCTACAATAATTGTCACAATTATTGTAGGACCTGGAGGCTTATAAAGAGGACTACACTAAAACCAAACAGCACACTGGTATACAGTATTCGTTATACTGTATTCGGATTTCCAACACTCCCCCTTGCTGTAGGTTTTAGTGAATCTGAGTTCCTTGGAGGATGGGGTGGTCGAGGTGGTATACCACCACAAGGTAGGGGTGCGCCCAAACCAAGTTAGGGTTTGGTGTTGGCCAAGCTGCTTGTCACTGTAGCACCTTTCCCCTCCCAACCTTTGGGCCTTCCAAACTCCAACCAAACCATCTTCCTTCACATTTTCAAATCCCTCCTTCCAATCTCGACATTCTAGATCGAGATCTAGAGAGTAGTGGCTGCTGCTGACGAAACCGTAGCAGCTCCATGACGAAATCTCCTTAAAACCATGGCGGAATGCGCGTATCGTCATGGCGGAATGCCCTTAGCGCACGTCGAATTTCCGAAACCGTAGACTTTACGACACGCGATTGTCAGTGCAGCTGTCTTTTTCGCACGCCTCCTGTGCAACGACGCGAAACCGCATCGGATGCGCGTCTGCGACGACTGCAGCTGCGGATGACGCGAATCGGTAGCGGATAACGCATGGCGTACGGCTGGCGCGGAACTGCATTGGCGGGCGCACACTTCGCGCGATAGAAGCGACGACCTTGTGTTCGTTAGCGGCTGCTGCGCGCCTACTGCATCATTTGCCTGTCCGCGCCTGCTGCATCTTCGTAAGCCTTTCTCCCCATGCTTTGGCAATCTTGCCAAGTGTGCTCAAACTTCACCCATGTTGCCCTGTGATGCTCCCTATACACTCCAGCAGACACACGGTAGCAGCCAGAGTTGCCGAACTCCATCAGCTGGAGAGCTGCGCATGCCGACACACTCCAAGTATCCCAAAACTCTGCACTCCATGTATGCAGAAATGTCCACTCCATGTGTGCAGTGCACACCAAGTATGCCGAGATGTGCATACCAAGTATGGAGAAACGTGCACACCAGGTATGCAGTAATGTTCACTCCCATGTATGTTCTCCATCCTTCCTTCAGATGGTGCCGTTCATCTGCAGCAACCAATCGCACAATACCGCTTCATCACGACGGATGACGCCGATCGGCTGCATCCTTTCTTCCTGCTCCCCCTGCCTATTGGCAACCCTTGGTGAGTAGGTCTTCCATTATGCTTCGTGACTCCATGTCCCACTCCAGCTCCATCATATACCCTCCACACCCCACCTCCCCCTCACCCATGTGCTTGTAATCATCCGCGTACACAGCTACAAGCATATGAGTGAGTGTGGAGTTAGGTGATGCCATGTTGTGCAGCACCGTTTGAGGTGGCCGAACAGGTGAGTACAACTCCACAATCCTTGACTTGGCGATCATCAGCAGATGGTACGCCCGTTGCTGCACATCCCAAATTGATTTCAGCATCATTGTCTTCAACCTCCTCTGATACTGTCACTCCTGCTGTAGGTAAGTCATTTGCTGCAGCATCTCCACTTGGGTTGCATCAGCTTCATCAGCTCCAGGTGAGTCATGTTCTACAAGGCCTGCTCCATCTCCTCCCGAATCCACCGCGGACCTTTTTCCTTCTCCCCCTGAAGTCAACATCACACTGTGGGGTGAGACTTCATCCGTAGCAACATCATGTGCCGGGTTCCGCACGATGCTTGCTTTGTGTGCCATGCGGTAGGTGACAGATGCATGTGCAGACTTGCCATTCGAGTGCATCCCAGGTGTGCGGAAATCCGTGCTCCCATGTGCGTCAATGTGCACACCAGGTGTGCGGAAAAGGGTAACCCCTTCACGATCAACCGGATTCGATGACGCGCCATCACGGGAATGTCCAGGATCATAGGCGGATGTAAGTACATGCGCATACTGCACCACGAGCACTCCATCTACGTCCTTGCCAAGTCCAATCCGCACGTACTCCTCTCCATCAGTCATGGTGATCTCGGTGTCTCCATTAGTAATGGTATTGATGCGCGCTCCCTTTTTCAGCAGCTGACAATAGGAGAGCAGGTTGCTCTTCAGACCAGGTACGTAAAGGACTTCAGTGTAGCGAACTGTTGTCCCATCAGGTGCCATTGCTCTGATCGTTCCTGTCATCGTGCTGCTCAGCTCGCTCCCATTAGCGAGCTCCACATAAACAGGTTCGTCCAGCTCCCTTAACTCTTCAAACCAGCGCTTCTCCGAGGTCATGTGCTGGCTGCATCCACTGTCCAGCAACCACGATGACGCTTTAGCTGGTGGTAAGGTAGCTTGTGACGATCCCACCGTTGCAATGCACGTAACAGTACGTTGCTTGTCTTCTCCGGCTGCCCCTTGCTGTTTTGACGCATTATTGTCACGCTTGGGGCTGCGACTCCTTCGTGGGGAGGACGAACGGCTGTCCTTGGTGTGCAGTTTTACCTTTCCGCGGGTATGCGGTTCCCACCCTGGTGGTGTCCAGCCAGGGGGTGCCTTGGTACACTTGAAGAAAGGATGGCATGGCTCCTTGCAGTACCAACACACGAGAGATGAGCGGCTTGCATTTCCATCCTTGCCATGCGTTTTCTCCCCAATGGACCCCTCCTTCCCGCTATTGCCCTTAGCAGTTGGAGAAGGTGAGCGGTCTCCACGTGCTTGTCCAACCATGCGAGGTGGACGCCGGTCACGGTTATCCTTCATGATGAGGTCGTGATACCTCTGCTCTTGAATCATCATCCGCTGCAAGGTGAAACTGTCCGTCACGTTGTGTAGCATTGCCGAGTGCCTCATTTCCTCCCAATGCGCCGGTAGTTCGGTGAGCAGATTTAAGGTGAATGTGTACTCATCCACCATCTTCCCCGCGAGTGCTAACTTGTCCCGGATTGTCGTTGCGCGGTTCACGTACTCTTCCACCCTCTCTTGACTCCCCATTTTCAGGTTGTCCAACTGCTTCAAGAGAGAGACTTTCGCCACCGAATCTTTGGCCTGGTACGTATCCATTAAGTACTCCCATGTTTCATATGCCGGGCTATAGGATTCCTGAAACATGTCCAGTTGTAGCTGAATCGTGGCGCTCACGCTGTGCAGTAGGACCCAAAAAGCGAGCGCCGCACGTTGTGAGTAATCCGCCTGTAGCATTTCCAGCCGCTCCATAGCGTCGTTAATGTCACCATCTCCCATGGTAACCGGATACTGCAGGGTCACAAAGAACTCCCACAGATTCGTGACGCGAGCGTTCATACGAAACCGTAGCGCCCACTCCCGGAAGTTCGAGCCATCAAACGGAGTAGTGGTGAACGCTTTGTCCACCGTTGCTCCCACCATTTTGCGTGACAGCCGTTCCTTGTCTTCTTCCGTGTATTCACGTGGAGCGGGGTCGAAGAGAGTAGGCACGGTTGACGGTCGAGGTAGCTGAACCGTGCGCTGCATATTCCCATTCTGTCCACCAAGTTGACGTTCCAGCACTTCCACTTGATCACGTCGCATGACACCGCTTGACTGCATTCCGTATCCCATCCGCCCCATGCTGTCCACATAGTGTGCGCCTATCGATCGACGAGGTGCACGCAAAGGTATGACATTGCCGCCATGAAGGTGAGACCTGGCCATAAGAGGAGCTCCAATGGGATGGGAGTTAGTCGCAAGTTGTCGTAGTGGGGGAGCACCAATAGTGTAGGAGGCAAAACCCACACCTTCCACGCCCACTTGACCATTTCCGTCACCCTGCTGCCCAATCTGTCCACTTCTCACTCGACCATGCACTGCACTCCCATACTCATAATTCCTCCCCCGTGGTTCCCTTTGCATGGATGATTGAGGTGCGGGATTGGCCTTCTCCTCTCCTTGGACGGATGCATCCCTCCCTTGGGATGACTCTCCTCCTTGAGGTATGCCCATTTCCCCTTCACCATCAATTCCTGCATGAACATTTGATGCACGGTTTTGGTTAGTACGCGGAGTGTTTGAATGAGAGTGTCCACGGGTGGACGGATTGCTGGACTCATGAGAGAACGTTGTCCTTGGCTGGATTGTCATTCCAAACTTGTCCCTTAACGAAGCTTGGAGTGCTGGTGGTGCCTTTGCAATCATGCTTTCCAGGTGCTCATGCTGAGCCATGATGGCTTCTTCAAAAGCCGCATATCCAGGATCCACTTCGCCATCGAAGTGCGCCATGACCTTGACAAACCGTCCACCAAGTGTGCGCTAAACGCGCGGTTGTACTCAGCAGCGAACACCAGGTGTACGAAAGCGTAGACCGGGTGTGCGGTACTCTGACTGTATGCAGGTACCTATCCGAAGTGAATGCCAGTAAATTCCTGAACCAAATTTGGCAGCATGCCCCCTAGAGTAGCTCTGATACCATGCTAGAAAGGCATAGTGCCAGCGTAGCGGAAACGTGT